AAAAGAAACATCCTCTATCAAACGTGTGTCTATTCATGAGGTTACATCCATTCACTTTCCCATGCATGTTCAGCTTACATAGTTACCTATGCTCCCATATAGATTATTGTTATTATATCAGTAGAGGACTGTGTATGTAATAGTGTTTACTCTGTTGCCTTTCGGTCTTGTACTCCTTACAGAATCTTCCTTTGTCTTGGTCAGTCTGTACAGACTTCTACCTTATTGTATATTGCCTTTCCCTTCATCCAAATTAATATATATCTACCTTCTATTTAGTGAGGGAGCTCTGGTGGCATAGTGGTTACAAGTTGGGCTGACATCCAAAAGACAGGCAGTTCAAATCCACCAGCTGCTCCACAGAAGATGGGACTTCCTACTCCCGTAAGCAGTTAGTCTTGGAAACTCTTGGGGCAGGTCTACCCTGTCCTATAAGGTTGGTATGAGTTGGCTGCACTCTGTGGCAGTGAGTTGGTTGGTTTTATTTAGTGATTGACTCTCTCTTTTGCTCCCATCCCTGGTAAACTTCCATGAAGGTTTCGGTGAATAGCCTTGATGTTCTACAGCAGTCGTCTCTTACAATGGTTGTCCTGTTATGATGGACTCATTTCACACCAGATGTACTTATGTTAGGAGGTACTGCACAAATTATTCCTTAATGTTGCATAGTATTTCATTGAGTACACACGCCATAATTCACTTTTCCAATCACCCGCCGATGGGCACTTAGGAGGTCTCCGTCTTTTTCCTATTGTGAATAGTGCTGCTATGATCATGGGGGTGCACATACCTGTTCAAGTTACAGCTCTTATTTCTCTACGACCCACACCTAGTGGTTGATGGCTGGGTCATTTTACTCTTTTGCTTGTTTGTTTGGACTTAAGTCTTCTGAATTCCCTGTCCGCCACTTCCAAAAGTATTTCTCCAGCCAGGAGATTTCCTGTCCATTGGTCACATGTCTGAGACATCTTCTCTCGCTCTTGTGTGGTTTGAGGTTGTCTGTTGTCTTTGAGACATTCCACTGTTAGTGTCGTCATGTACTGATTCTAGGTTACTTTGCTTCACCTGATTTTCTGTTTGCTGTGTTGTAGTATACCTGGGTAACAGGGCAGGCCGACTAGTTGGGTCTCTAGTTGGGCAACACTGGGGTGCTCACCACCGGTCTCTGGGTGAATTTGGTCGTGAAGAGGAGCGTGGGTGTCAGTCTCTAATCACTGGTCAGGTAGGACAGTTGAGCACAAAGGGCGGCTGTTGACTGCCCTCTCTCATCCATCCAAAGGTGCTGGGCTGGGAGCCGAGATCATCCTGTGCCTGTGCGTGGTGCAGCAGGTGTGGCCGATATGGCTCCTGACGGATGGGGACATACACAAAAGAAGGGCGAGGAAGAGGAAGAAGAAAAAGGAAAGAGAAAAACAAAGTTTTCGGGAGGGGAAAACTCAGAGAAAGGGAAAAAAGGCAGGGAGGTGGGGAGCGGCACAGCTTGGGTGCCAGGGGGTCGGGGGAGTGGAAAGGAGGTGCTCGCTCCGTGGGAGTGCGCTGCAGCCGTGGAGGTGGTCCCGTGTGGGAATTTGCTCTATGGAATAAAAACACAAAACAAAAGGGAAAGGGGAGCGATTGAAAGAGGAAGAAACAAGAAAAGAAAGTCTAGGGGGAAAGAGTGAAGGACTCT